CTATATATATATATATATATATATATATATATATATTATTATTATTATTACTATAGTGACCTTTCAGCTATGCCTGGCTAACATTACAGAAGCCGCAAAGATGTGGTGCACTTGCACTCATGTTACCATATCCAAGATTATAAAACTGGCCTTTGCAAAGAAACCTGTCTTGGTTGTGTTTTAGTGGACTAGTATTTTGTAAAATACAGTCACATTTCAGTTATACTATTTACAAATAAGTTCTTAAAACATAGAAAAATAAATAAAGAAGTATAGTAAACAATTTTCTCTTCTAGTTACAAACATTGTACTAATTTGCTGCTTGAAATAGGTTGCTAGGTATATCAAATTTTGCACGTGGAGTAAGTGAAACGAAATAATTTTTTATAGGTTTTACATATATACATTTTGAAATAACCAAAAATTATATATTACTATATCAGTACCACAAAATTCCAGTATAATTTATCTGGCATAGTAACTAATCTATATATGAGTCTAAAAATATATGAAATTTTGAGCTCACGTCTTACTTTACTGCTTGGAATCAAGCATGAAAGAAAGAGTTTGTCGTGCAAATACTTTACAGAGACTGAAAGAACTAGTAGGGGGACATTCTGAGCTTTCGTCATTGAGCGAAGTTGGAGTACATAAGCAAATATATTCAAAACTTGAAAAGATGTATGGGCCACCTTGGTTGGTTCAATAAATATATTAATATCTCAGAAAATAGAAAAGATAGAAGGTTCTTATTTTACGTTCTAGCTTGTCAATATTGTTAATTTGAGTATCTAATTCCTAAGAAACTATAGACTTTGTATTTGAACATCACAAGCATCTAATTTGAACCAATACTGCATTCAGCATACCATGTGACACACAAAAAATCGATATTTAGGATTTTTTTTTTAATATTTACTTTTAAAATGCAAAATTAACTAATGTATAATACTAAAATTTGAATTATAATCTACAATTTTATATCAAACTTATTGAGATACATATTATAAAATAGTAGTTCAATAAAATTTTGAATGTGAGTCAACAAACGTGATGACAT